GAGGAATGGCTCAATAGCATGAGAAGCTGCCTTATCTAATGGATTAAGCACAGGACCCAAGCCAAATGCCAGCTTTGACAAGGACTTGCTCTGTGGGCCTTAGCTGAGTCAGTTAACCTTTCCTAGTTTTCCATCTTTAAAGTGGAAATGATAATTCCTCTTCAGCAATGTTGCTGCAATCATGTTGCGGTGGTCTGATTTCAAAAATGCTGAAGGCATCTTACCAAGCAGTTCAGTGCAGTGCCACAACCACTCTCAACTCGTTTCCACAGAATATTTAAAGAAAAGCAGAAATATGTTAATAATTACAAATATTTTTCCTGGATATTTAACTCTAAAAGGTAGTATTAATAAAAAATGTCTTTTAAATTCTAGTTTTGTCATTAGTAACTTAAAACTGCTTCTTTCAGTAGGGAAAAAAAAAGGTAGTTTCGCAGTACATTATATTGGACTAATGTCTTCAGGTAAATGACACAGCATCAGGTGAGATTTTATCTACCCCAGATTAGTGCCTATCTAATAGATTTAATTATTTTGTGAAGATAATTCAAGTTATATTAAATTCTAAATGCACTAATCGACAGAGCAAATTGCTTTTGGAAACATATTTCCAAAGGGTCTCTGAATTTATTCCTTCTATTTTATATGTACAGGCTTCCATACCTTTTCGAATTTAACATTTGTGTACATCATTCTGACATTTGCTAGCATTTGAGGAACAATTTCCAAGACTATTTTTGCACGCAACATATTAGGACATTTTAGTAGAACAGATTTTAGGAAAATCATTTACATTCTGCATGTTTAGCCATCTTGGTGTCTTCATTCTACTTTCAAATATTTCAATCAAAATTTTAACATGGGATTTACTTAGAAAGAAGGCTGAATATCATTTTCATACAAAGAAAATAAGACTCACTTTCTATGCCTGCTTCTTTTCTTCAAAGGTGGAGAAACCTGAAATGCTTTTGACTGCAAACATAAAAATCACTGAGCTCTTCGATAAAATCTGTCTCAAATATCACGTTCTGAAATCTCAGTACCTCCCAAAAAATGCAGACATCAGACTAATAACAAGGTCAGAAATACAAATAAATTAACTTCTAATGAAGACTGGAGACACAGTAATCAAAGTGTTAAAAATTCATTTCATGCACATCTCATTTGCCTCTTAGCTGATATTTATCACATAATTCTGTGAGAAAGTAGAGGCCTAAGATGCTCCAGATAAATGTCTCAATTAATTGTACAGAGGTAGCCCTCTTTGAGCTGAACCAGAGCTGTGAGCTCTTTATTAAAAGCACTATTCTGTAGCCTGTAACCTTGTTCCTTGACTCCTCTCTAGTTTCCAATTTAAACAAGTCCCCATGCGGCCCGCTCTAAAGGGCTTTGTCTCCCTGTCATTGTTAAGAGAGCCGAGGCATCCTGGAAGTGTGAAATCAGACCTCATGAGCTGAACGGTTCCCCAGGGAACGCTGGACCGCGCAGAAGGTCAAAGTCATGGGCTGGACCATCTGAAAGCGTCTGATCGCCAGTCTGTGACACAGCAAGCAGGGTGGGGGTGGGCAAGGGGCAGGCAAGGGGGCTAGAATGGAACATGTCTTAATTAAAGCTTGAAGACAGCAAAACAAACTGTTTTCCAGGCTGACTGTCACAAGGAGCTCAGATTTTGCTCTGCTAATGAATCTGAGTTGCTAACTATTATTCTTCAAAATAATAGGACTTGTACTGACGTTGATAAAACTTGTAGCACATCTTTTCCCACCATGCTTCCTTCTCATCATTAACAATGTGGAGCTTTTGATTTTATTTCACATAAGGAAAAGAATAAATGTATATAACTCAATAAAGGAGATGCAAAAAACTTTTTAAACAGATTATGTATTAATTTCAAAAGTCAACTGACATGATGAATCCGCTACATATTTTATGGCATTATCAGAATACTTTCTAATTTAAAATTTCTTCATTATAACCATATATGAAATTATGCCAGGCTGTATGTCTTCCGGAGGACCAATAAAAGAGCAAGGGGAGAGGAAAAAGTGCAACTCCTTTTATCCAAGTTTATAGGAAGAAAACAGCCTGGCATCAAATAGCTTCAACACAAAAGCTTCCTTCTCAGGAAGACAAGAAAATGTAAATAAGTATAGTCAATAATTTAATTCCATTTGTTAGATTATAGTTTCAAAACAAAAGCCATATAAGAATATTTACATTTTATACAAATGAACACCTACTGCAACCAGGATTTCCAACAGAACATCTTTTGTTTGGATGGCAGCCCTTGCATTATGTTTTGACATTAGAAAGAATGATCTTGAGGTACAATTTTCCGGATATAACATCCTGATAAACTGAACAGCATTCTTCAAGGCCCTGGTCCTGCCAGAGGCCCTGTGTTTCAACTCTCTCGGAAACCAGGTGCTTCAGGCACCCATCAGGCACCCATCAGGAACCTCTCATCCTTCCACAGTAATCCGTTTCTCAAGAAAGTCTTTACAGGTAGGCTGGGAGAGAGGACGCTCACTTGGTATTTTTCTTGTATATTTTTCAAATCCATTAATGACACTCTTATACAGCACTCCATTTGCAGACTGCTAGTCACCATTTTCTCACCTGTCCACATCTAAACACAGAAATTTCAGTCTGCTGTGGCATCTTTTTCAAGTCGTTTGTGTATTCCTGGGAGCTGAAAACTGAGACCTTAACCGGTATCCTTAATCTCTTTTTCCTCTTTCTTATTTTCCTCTCTCCCCCTCTCATTCTCCCTCTCTTTTTTAAAGATTTGTATTAACCTTAATGATTTGAATTGCACTGTCCAGGGCTGACAAGGAAAAAGAAAACTACCATCAGCTATCAACAGTTTATTAGAGCCATAGCTGAAGTGACTTACTGTAGTAGTGTTCAGCTAAACAAGGCTATGGGCTTTCTCTCTAAAGAAGAATTGAGGGTTTCATTAAAAAGTAATTTGTGCTTTTTAGTCATTCATTCAATAAGAACCTCAATTGTTCTTTATTCACACAGAGTTAATACAGTATTACAATGCTTCTCAATGAATGTATGGTAACAAAAGAAGAAATTCACATTTTTAAAGGAATCTGTGCTTATGCTTAATGATGGGATATTATGAATTTTGAAAATCCTTTCAAATCCAAACTAGCAAATGTTTGTTCACTACTTCATATGACAAGATTTCTGAAAGTGAAACAGGATATGTGCAACAGAAAGGAAACAAAGCAAAACATACAAGTACTATACAGGCGCTTCAGCTTTTCAGACTCAGCAGAAGGCAAAAAATAAACTGTTAAAAAAAAAGATGTATTAGGAAGAGCAAACTATGCCTGAGCTTTTACTCACACAAACCAATCTTCAGTCACATAAGTCATATTTACTAATGACAGCATTTTCTACGCTGACTAGTAATTATTGATCAGTTTCATAAAGGAGAATGGCCAAGCTTTTTTTGTAATTTTTGCAAACATTTTCTGACAGTCAGGAAACGACTACTTAGAATAATTTGTAAATATTCCTCCTCAAAGTTTAATCTGAAATCATCTGTACACATTCACATAAATTAATTTCATTAAAACCATTTGTCCTCCTTTCAAAATATCGAATACTATTATCTGAACTATGCAAGCATTTCTGTTGTGTCTGAATCCACAGCCTTCTTAAAAAGCATATAATGCATAATGCTAGTGAACAAAACACTCAGTACACTGCCAAGATATTGAGTGCTCTTTCCAGTCTTCCTCACTGTCATTCTAAATATAATACCTGGATATTTTTGGTAGCTCTCTACATCTTTAATTGAATAAAATGTATTTCCAAAAAATCTGTTCTACCAGCACAAATGACATGTTGATCTGGAAAAGTCGAAGACTGAACGAGGTCAGGGACTGAATTATCCCATTTGCCCCTGAATAACTTAATCTCTCTCTCTGTTCAGACCACATTGGATTATAAGGTCAAAGCAGAGTTAGGAATCTTTAGAAGCATTTCTCCAACCTCTCTGAAAATAGAATCTGTTATTTTGTGTGCCACAAATTGGAAGATCAGTTTCAGCAATAAAATGTTTATTCTGTTGCCTTATATAAGAAAATCTACTCAATTTGCACAAAACAATTAAAAAGTGATTATCTTGCTATGTATCTCTATCTGTTCATGTAGCAGAACATTTATGTTCGAATTGCACTCAAACCAGATATATTAGGATAGTTTGCTTTTTACTTCCCTTTCTTTAAAAAAGTAAAGATGGCTATTTTCTGACATAGAAAACACTTTGCTTCACCCAACTTATGCAGTATGACTGTGATTCTACTTTCAGGATGCAACTTCGATATTTCCAAGGAAACATGATTGGTATGGCTGAAATAATTTTTTCTTTGTTTTAAACATAAACAGGTTAAATTATCTCCCATCAATCCATAATTTAAAATAATTTAATAATAATCCATAATTTAAAATAAAAAAGAAAAAAATACATAATTTCCCTTCTTAAGCAGACCATCGCTAGTTAAAGGAAACTTAACATTTGTTTGAAATATTTGAAACCAAAGAACAGCCTTGCTAAGTATCTGACAGGGAACAATTACTTTGGCAAAAACTTCAAAGTTGTATTCATATGTACCAATTTCTATTTGCCTTTTCTGTTGCATTTTTCTCTAATTTTGAATATTCTGTATTTTTGTATCCACTATAAAAAGAAATCTGGAATATGTATCTCAAGCAATTTTTTGCAGAACCTTCGTTGGAGAAAAATGCATATTTCAGCCTTCTCAGCAACAACCTATGTTACACTCTGCTAGCATTAGGATGACTTGCTGCCTTGCTTACAAATTTTGTTTTTATGTCTGATGATTTTTTAATGAGGAGAAGGTGAGAAAGAGCAAGCAGACAATAAGAATTGCATAGCCTTCTGTTTCAAATATATTTTTCAATCTGTAAAAAGGCCCAGTATTGATATTTACAGTCACAGAAACTAAAGAAATCCTTGCCTGTAACATCAGCTGCCATCAATGCTTCTGCTCGAATGACTTTTACCTGAAGAAATCCCACATCTTTCATGTTATGAAACATTCTCATTGGACTCTGAAAAAAATAAAATAAAATAAAATTGTATAATTCTAGATTGCAAAATAAAATTAAAGCAATATTGATAGTATCTTCCCTCTTTTAGATGTAAGTCAGAATACTTCTAACAATCTCATACCTTTACATACTACTGTCTGAAGAACATGTAATTGTGCTTCTTTCATATTTTGCCATTTTAACATATCAATCAAAAACACAAATGAAAAATTATGAAATAATTAAACATGCTAATTCTGCTGACTTAAACTCTTAGTAGTGAACTGACTATCAGAATTATACTATGTATCAGGGTGTTAGCAAAATTAATACAAACTATACAAATACTCTTTCCTCTCCCTTGTTACTTCTGTGCAATCTGTGTTCATATTTTCCCTTTGATAGCTCCACTAATATTAACAATGACTTGGGACCAATACTACTTTCACCGTACTTGATCATTATATGTAAGCCTGCATGCAGCATGTATGCACCAAGTAATATGAGCAAATACAAGAGAATATTCTAGCAACTTAATAATCTTTATAACAATCACAGGCAAAGAAGACTGAAAAACATAAACAAGAAAACAGTTCTATTTATATGGCAAAATGCTTTTGCTATAAATCTTTTCTCCTACCATTAATTTCTTCAATATCCATATGTATTAAAATAAAAGGAAGAAAAAATGAAGAGTAGACAAACAATTGGATTTACACACCCTGTATTGTTTTAGAAATCTGCTTGGAAACTGTTTTATTTTTTCAAATGCCTAAGTGTAATAATCTGGGAATATTGCTGCACCTGAGTATGTTATGCCAAAATTTTTAACATCTGACTTTGAGTATGATTTAAAAGTTGTTGAACTTCAAAAGCTGAAACACCAAATGGGATTTTGATTATGCAACCAATTAACAGCAAATTTTACATTATTGTTTACTTTCTTCATAACCCATGAGAGAAAATCCAAAAGGGGAATCTACAATTACATTTTAAAGTACACTTTAAATCATATATTTCATCAAATTTTTAAGTTTCTACAAGTCATGTAGATGAATGGTATCACCTATCCTTATTTCTAAGCATTTTAACATCTAAAACATTGGAAAAGGCCACAGGCATGCTCTGCAATATTTTAATTAGTTATGTGAAGATACAGCAGCATTTGAAGCCTTTTCTACCTGCTGCTGTGGTCTAGATTCCTAGAATATGCAACCATTAGGTAAACACGAGGTCAAAATTCTGAAATACATCATGAAGTCAAAACTGACTGTTAAGGAAAAACAGAATAACATCACTTATCTGAAAATCACAGCTGCTGCTTAAAGGTAGTATCAGATACTGCAAAAATTGGAATATGTTTATGTATAGATAACATACTCATTACAATGTTAGACATGTAACACACATTCCTGTATTTCTGTTAATAAGACAATTGTAGCAGTTAGATTACTCCTTGATATTTATTGCACAAGCCCCATTTGACTACTTATTGTTTGCAGTGAAGGTTTGACCTTGGTATCCTGAGTCCAGTTAAGTGCAGTATCACACATGCAGAATACAAATATATACATGCATGTTATCACAGCATAATCATTTACAGTTTCTAATTGTATTTATTATGTTTAACATCAGAAATAAGACATAAAACTACTGGTAGTCGGCTTCAATCTGCACACACTCAATCCTCTGCTTATGTGCTTACACACCAGCTGAGAGTGGCAGAAGTGGTGGTACAGATAGCAGTGCTGCAATTCAAAAGCATGCTGGCACTGGCACCACCTCTCACAACAATAATGATCAAGGTTTGGAAGCTTCTTATCAGGGCTCATACTGTAACAGATAATTCTGCTCTAATACCAAGATGGAAGTGAAAGGATTTACAAACAGGTTCCCATATTTTACCTAAGTTTCTGAATAACCGAAACAAACAGCTAGCTTCAGGAAGAAAACAAAGCAAAAACCCAAACATGGATCAAGACAAACAACAACCGCTCCCCTTCAGCAAACTGTACCGAGGATTTCCCCAAGATTACACCCTGCAAAATGCACATTCTGCCAAAAAAACAAAAAAACAAAAAACGCACTGGTACTGTATTTCACTTTGCTACCCTAGTTAACATCCCACAATTATTTCTGAACTTTAGTTTTAGAGATTCAGTAACTTTAGTTTAATTTATCATAAGCCGCAATGGTTGAGACTAGTGAAATTGTATACAGTGCTACAGTAGACTCTGGAAGAAGCAAACAACTTTAATATATTACTTTAAATATGTAACTTTAAGTAACAATTTATCAGATGATACTCTGTCTTATTTACGATTAATGTTGAAGGCCTCAAAAACTGTATGGTTTCTGAAGCCTGGAATTTCCATAGCAGAGGAATCTGTGATTTGCAGTGAATCTTTTCAGCCCTCAATAGATGGGAAAAGATTGAAATGCTCTGGAGATGGGTCCTCTTTATTTTTTTAATGAAAGGCCGTATAATATATTTTCTGTATGGCTGCAGCAGCTGTCAGGGAGAGCATCTCAGTTCAGCTCTATTATGGGAGAAGCAATACCCCATCCTATGGCATCGAGATACACTGAGGGGCCAGTACTGATTGACAGCTTGTCACCATGACGTCTTATTCCATCTCTGTTATGGAGAAAATTAATGTCACACCACCAGCCTTATGACTCGCTGTCATCTTAGAACTGCTCACCTTTTATCAATGCTCTAAATAACATTTCAAGCCCATCGTCTCACGGTGGACAATCTGGTCAAGGGACATTAAATCGGATGACTGTGAAATGTCATAATAAAAATGGAATGCTAACAACTTCTTCTCTAAACTAGCTCCTCTGGTTTTTAAACTGTGACAAGGGGGACTGTGGGTTCAGCACACCCGTTCTGAAAAGGTCATACAATCTCTCTTGGTCCGTACCCATTAATGCGCCCCCTTCCTCACCCCAAAAGGAATTAATCTTTTCAGACAATTGTGGTAAAATAATGGTTCAAACAGTAATGCCTGTTTAATTTGTAAGGCTCTGATGTTCAGCTACAAATGGTTAAATGACAGTAATAGAGTCATTTTCCAAGGCTATTTGATCTGATGGTAAGGTCAGCTCATTAGCTGTTTTTGGCTGTGGAAAGGGTGCAAAATATATTTCTCCAATAGAATCTAGATTTTTTGAGAGAACAAAAAATAAGCCCCAAAATACAGAGGCTGAATGTAAATAGTAAATCTTGCTAATTGCAGATTCATTCTTTTAATCTGTGCTGAAGATGATATATGAATAGTAAAGATAAATCAAAAATCAGTGAAAATAAACTATTCGAATTTTGCTAATCCTTGTCGTCTCTTTCTGCTGCTATCCATAGATCATTTTAATAAAAGCTGCAATATTTTTCAAAAAGGATGCTGTAATTTTCAAAAACATACAATGAGAAGTTCTATTTACTGCGATATGCACGTCCTCCAAAAAAACCAAACCTTTTAAAACACACACATTACTGTAAATACAAGAAAAATGACACACATCCAGAACTGTGGGAGAAAAGATCCATCTTATGCTTTACACTGGGGAGAAAAAAAAAAAGAGTATTTATGAAAACTGATTAATAATTCAGTCATAACGTGTTGCTATATTGCTTCTAAATTATCAAAACCATCAGTATCACTTGACTCTCATCGCATCTTCCCACAGCATAATCCACAGAAATATGGTATTGTTACATCTGGTAGCTAGAAGTATGTCACCTCAAAATCTATCCAGCATAAATATATTATACTTCTAAAGATCTATTCTGAGAACCAGAGGCTGTCTTGGTGGCTCCCCAAATATGAAATAGTTCGTTTAATTGCAATTATTTTTCAGAGATTTTGTGAAATACTTTAGTTCTCAGTTGGTTTAGGAATATTATGTTTAGCCTCACTAAGTCACCTCTATTAAACTGTGTTTATGATAACACTATTGGTGTATGAGTTGTACAAGCATTAGCAGACAGCTGATTCAGTGGAGATAGCCAGAATAAATTTGCTGAAGCGCACATCCTGCTAATCTGTTTGAAGAATATTGTACAGCATTAGTACTAGCACTTCACGTTATCTGCACAGACTGATAAGGTACATCTTTATTAAATTCAGCTGTTGAAAGGATGTCAGTCATGGAATAGGAATATTTTAAAATCTAAAAAAAAAAAAAAAATTAAGCGGCTCTTTGTTAGTCAGAGCTTGGTTTAATGGCTGAGTGTCTAGAGAAGCCTTTCTAAACACCTGGCAGCATCGTACAATAAAAGCTTTGTAATTTTAAGTGGAAATAGGCTTCCCCCCCCTCTCTTTCATAACTCCCCCTCCTTTTCTCTGTGTGTCGTGAGACAGTTACTTTTAGTGATTTAGGTATTAAGAAATGCTGGAGTAAGAGCTCCCCTCTCTGTTCCTTTGATAAAACTGCAGAGCTGCGTAATGTGAGGATTCTGGGAAAAAAAAATAATTTGTTCCAGAACATTTTGAAATAGAAATACTGCTTGAAACAATTATATTGATGATACAAAATACAGCTTCCCTAACATACAGTTAAAATCTCATCCTACAGGCACTACAAATCAGTTAATGTAAGTACTCACTAGAAACTGCACAGCCACTAAATAACCCCTTCGTTATTTTGCACTTGGTAAAAATGATCTGTAAGGCAATGAAATTAACTTCTTCATGTCATAAAGTCAATTAAAACAGCTGAAACACTGTAAAAAATAGCTTACATTATACAGAAAATTTGCAGCCATTTTGAACGTAACCTTTCAGCTGCAGTAATATTAATGACTAGTTTAAATGACTGTCATTGGTTGAACATGGTAAGGATGCATGGGATTAAGAGTTCTTTCTCTAATAGTTAGTATTTATATAAGCAAACATTTCACAGACAAAGATCAAAAGAGAACTCCATACATATCTCTTCAGTATTTCCTCTCGCTCCTTTGGGTCCTCCAAGGAGTTGACAGAGAGATCAGAGATGGTGACTGCCGCTGAGGCTGTCAGAGTGACCAGCAACACCAGGCATCCTTCTCCCTCCTCCAGTGGCAACTCCAGTTTGTGAGTCTGTTCTTTACTTAGGGTTGACAGGTCAACCTGGCACCTAGAAACACATTTTTCATCAGTATATGGTTTTCATCTCATTAAACAATAGTATATTGGCTTACTTGCATTCAGCTGCACAAACAACAACAATAGCAACAATAACAACAACTGCAAATCAGTAGGAATTCCTTCTCAGCTTCTCAGAGGATTTCTCTTCATTTTCAGACTGTAGTGTTTGCCTTTTTTTAAAGCTATAGCTTGTTATGAGTATGAACATCAAATATACTAAAAAGAACATGTAGACACTAGAAACAAGGTTATCTAAAATGCATTACTTGAGCCCAGACAAAGAGAATTTTAAAAATTCACATTCAGACACAGATTGTACTTTTTAATTATGATTCTTGTATAAACATAACATGCAAATTTTGGTACGAATATTTTTGATACCACTCAACTAGCAACAGTAAAAATTGCTTCTAACACAAATAAAAATAATAAAAAATAAAAAGATCCATGTGGGGACTTAATTGTGATGGAGTCAACATGACTGAACACAAAACGCAGGACTAGAGCACCACCCAAAAGGCTCAACAACTTTGCAGTAAGCTGTGCATGGGTCAGGGTCAGAGCTTCATGCAAGCATCCAGGATAAAATGTGATGCCACAAGCCCTTTATAGTAAGATGTCTCATGTTGTAATGAGCAAGGACTGCTTATAACTTCACAAACAATGTCTGAAGACAATCCTCTGTGCTTGATCCCTCTCTGAATAACCCTGGCTGCACAGGTTGTACCATGCACTGAATTAATGAAGAATGGCTCCATACGCGTCAGCCAGCAGCATAGCAGTTTTTGAAATATCTTCAGAAATAAGATATAGAACTATTAAAGTAAAAATGTTGTTCTTGCTAACAAGGAGCTGACCAAAAACTGTTTATTTAAAACAGTACTGTAAACACTTTGTGAGTACCTTTAGAAGTATTAATATTTTTATGTCCATACTTCGTAAGTTTCAACTTTTTGAGATTGCGACTCTGAATGTGCCTAGAAATTCAGTGCTTGTGCCACACATAATGCCATCCTGCCCTGTGTTGTCTGTGACCACGTGCAGTCTTTTGGTCCTGGCCTGTTTTAGGTCAGTGCCGCAGGAGGCAATGCAACACCCTGTAAGGTAATTTCTGTGAAAAAGCACTGCTAGGAATATTTCTACCTCAAGTATCTTCTGTAAGGTTTTGCCAATTCACTACTCTGAATAAAAACAAAACCAATATTTAAGTAAAGTTTATGAATTCATTCTATATTTAGTTAACCAACTGCATACTTTACTTGTAACAGTGATTATGCAATGTGACAAATACATGCTCTATATGCCACTCTTACTAAACTAATCATCTAGCAAACTCTTTCCATAAAATGTCAATTGATTTTGAAGAGAAAGTTAACTTGGTGACCACAGGGCCAATAAACTGAAAAAAAAGGCAGCAGACATGAATAAATAGGCATTTATGGACAGGAAATAGCCAATTATCCAAATAAATTCATCCTTATAAAACAGGCACTATACTACTGCAGGCAGATTAGATTTGCTGAAGGAAAATTTTATTAAAAAAAATAATAATAAAAAACATTTACTTCTTTTATGTTGCTGTCAAAATTAAACTACTATACAGCTCATGTAGTAATAAAGTTTAATTATTTTACAATGAGAAAATTTGAAATTGACAGTGAGTTTAGTGTTTTCCTTTCCTTCATATATTCTATTTGTATATTCTTTATATATTATGTTTATGAGGGTGGATAGTGATAGAAAAAGGGGAAATGGTTTTAAACAAAGACTGGAGATACTAGGAGGAAGTTTTCCACACAGAGGGTAGTGACACACTGGAACAGGTTGCCTAAGGAGGCTGTGGATGCTCCATCCCTGGAGGCATTCAAGGCCAGGCTGGATGTGGCTCTGGGCAGCCTGGTCTGGTGGTTGGTGACCCTGCACATAGCAGGGGGTTGAAACTAGATGATCATTGTGGTCCTTTTCAACCCAGGCCATTCTATGATTCTATGATTTTGAACTCTCTGGAAGATAAGGAGTTAAAAATGAAATTAACAAGACTAGCAAGATACTAAAAGTGATGCAGTCAGTGCAGATTCACAATCCAAGTTTCATACCTATACACAGGCAATTAGACTTCTCTTTTGGCTGCAGTGAAGGTTGCAATGCTCTCCTTAAGATAATGAATAACTCTGAATGCTTGATTATGTTAAAATAGGTTAAGATAACTCTAGTACTAAATATTATCACAGAATCGCAAGATCATTAAGATTGGAAAAGACCACAGAGATCACAGAGTCCAACCACCAACCCAACTCCACCATTCCCACCAACCATGTCCCTCAGTGCCACATCCACGCGGTTCTTAATCAGCTCCAGGGACAGTGATTCCACCACCACACTGGGCAGCTTGTTTCAATGTGTTATCACTCTTTCAGAGGAGAAGTATTTCCTGATATCCAACCTGAACCTACACGGTGCAACTTAAGACCATTCCTTCTAGTTTATTTCAAAGCAAATATCTCTCAGAAAAGTCTCTGCAACAATATTGCAGCCCTAATCAATCATTATTGGAAGAACCACTTTAGACTCCACTAAGGTCAGTAAAATCATCAGAAAGTCATTACAATACAAGTAATGCAGAAATAATCCTCTCACTCAAAAACAGAAAACAAAAACGACGCCCACTTGAAGCAAAAAGACACAAATCACATGGATTATAGAATTGCATTAATGTAAAATTACAGTGCTTATGTCAGAGTTACAAGCTTCAAGGTCTCAGGAAGTTACAGCACTCTTTGCAACATTACAGTACCTGCTATTCTTTGTTTAGGTTAAAATAAGCTGACAATTCAATTCTACCTGTGTGATTTTCCTACAGGTATAAAAATAGTCTGAATCGCACCATATCTATGAGAGATTAACTACAAAATGTGTCTCTGCTGTCTTTTTGACACATCCCCCTCCATGAATGAGTTTGTTATTTTCTAAAAGCATACAAAGGGGTTGGAAGTGACATGGAAATTTTTCTAGTGAAATCCCTTATCATTTTACATGAAGAATATCCTCAGAATACTCTTCAGATTATTTCATAAAAATCAAAGATTATTTCATTATAGAATGCCACCACTGTGCTTTATAAGAATCTTGGTCAAAAGCACCAACATCTTTACTAAGTCAGGTGAAAGTGTATTTCTCATCCTGTTCCACATCCCCTCCTTTAGGAAAGGGGAAAACCCTGCAGGAGATGCAGCTGGCTTGCACCTCACTCAGAGAAGATGCTGAAGCTTGAGGAGCATTGCCAAGGCAACTGCATCAGCAGCATGCTCTTCAATTCAAAGACAAAACATTCAATATACAATTACACTGTACAAACAATTGTGATTCTTTCCATTAGTAGCTTTTACCTAGAAAACAAACAAACAACTATGCTTGTTTTATACCAAGTTTTCCTGAAAAACAAACAAACAAACAAACAAACTTCTCTTAGTTTTTCCTTTTCTTTGCATGAAAGCAAAACAGAAAAGAAAGCCTGTTCATTAAGGCATTATCTAAGCTCTAAACCTATGCTGGAATAACTTTCACTAAAATCAGTAGTAAAATCTGCCAAACCTTTTTTCTATCAAATTTTCCTACAAAGAAAGTGAAAAAACAAACAAACAAACAAACAAAAAAACAACAGTGAATTCTGAATACTTCAATTTCTTATCACACTATTGTTTATATATTGCTGATGAGAGGAAAAGTTCAGCTTTGGTGAAGTAATGAGTATGATAATCTATGGCAAAAATAGCCATTAATTCCACAGACAGATTTTCAAACATGGCTTGAAAAATGATATATCACCTCCAGTGAATGTTAGCTTTTAGGACAGTCTGACTATTTTCATTACTCTTCTACTCCATGTTATGAAGTCCTTTCACTGCACACCTGCGACTAGGCTTGAAGTGATGGGCAGGGACAATGGAACAATGGCCCTGGCTAGATGACATGTCCAGGATGAGAAATGGAGATATATCCTCCCACACCATGCCAGTGAACACTAACAAGCAACACCTGGATCTGGATTTTCAGGTCTGGAGACAAGTGAAGGGAGAAAAAGTCATGTGAGTATGTCAAGTTCATGCACCAAGTACGATAGGGAAGTAGCTGCAAAAACATGGTGCAGTTCCCATAGAAGATACAAGGGGAATCCAACACTTCCTCTGAAAATGTCTTCAGTGTGTTAATTACCCAAACTGCTAGGAATAAGGATTTCTGATTTATTTTTAATTTGAATATATCTGGCCTTTGGTTCTTTTTATGCCTTTCTCTACTAGGCTAAAAAAAGCCGTTGGTACCCCTTATTTTCTTCTAGTGAAATTACTCACATACCACAAGCATGTATCTTCTTGATCTTCCTTTTGATATGCTAAACACCTCCAGCTCCCTATGTATTTCCTTGGATCACGTCTCCTACAGCCCTCAAATGACTTTTTGTAACTTTTCTGATCCAGTGAATTTCTCCTGCATCCTTTTTAAAGTATGGAAACCAGAGCTATGTGTAGTATTTTATTATCAGCAGGTCTGAGAGACAAAAATCGCCTCCCCTCTCTAGTTCTAACAGAACCTGGAATGTAAGACCACTTTGGCACCCTGGTGAAATATCCTTGCTAATGAATGAGATACAAAGGTAGCGACATGACATAGAAGGCCTCTTAAAAGCCAGGTGGCCAGGCAAGGGAGAGGCAGCAGATAGCGAGATCATTTTCTCACATGACAAAATAAAGCATAAAAGAGGAATTGGCACAATCCTAAGTGATAGGGACAGAAAAGCACCACTTGGCTACAACCCAGGTAACTTAATTATCGTCATGACTTGTTCAGAAAGACAGCCTTTTAACTCCACTGTGATCCACGTCTATGCTGCTCCAAAGGACGCCCAGGAGAGGAAACTGTGCAATTCTGCAATTAGAACTGAGCTGGACGTACATCAGAAGAAGTGAGGCATGAACTGCTACAATTTGTGAG